TATAGTCCTCCGGCCATTGTGGGTGTCCTAAATTGATGAAAAGGTGATTTATATGAATTTATATACATATTTATTTATTATTTTTATTTATATGATCTTACTGTAGTTTAGTGGTATATTAACTGAAGGGAGAGAATTCGAATCATAACCCTAAAGGGCGCATCAGACAGTGACCAAGCGACAACGCTATGTTATGCTTGCTATTCGCAAGACAGCGTCTTGTTAGTAGTTGCTAGAATGGTTGCACTGAAGCCTCATGGGGTGTATTTCTTTCTGAAGAGAATTCGAAATTGGTAGGAAAAGTTTTATGCCACGCTATGATTAGAACTCGGACCTCTGAAATGCAACCCCTCCTCACACGGTCAACAACAGCAACAAATATGCTTTAAGTTGCATAGTATTGCCGAGTAAAAATACTGACGAAAAACCCACTTTTGATAGCTGAACAGTAATCGCTTAAGCCACCGTTTAAAGCTGGACTCCATCATAGTACTACATTCCGAAGTTAATTAATTTGGGTCCATCTTGAACGATGGCATGCATAGATAATTTGTTTATCGTACGAACGCACAGTGCTTTTGCCACTAAATGAGGTCTCAAAAATTAAGGCGCACCAAACCCGTATGATCACAACAATACGGATAAAGTTTCTGCAAGTTTACGGAGAGCGCAGTAGCTCAGTGGCAAAAGGAGATATCTGGAAATCCAGAGGTGGTGGGATCAAATTCTGAAAATTCAGGGAAAAAGACACTCTTAACTGCAAATGCCCTTGAGCAAAGAATTAACTATAAGTTGTTTTGGTGCAGCAGCCGAAAAAGGATATCAACGCGTTAACTTGCGAGTAGCACGGATGGTGCAGTATCCTAGTCTGACCGTAGCAGCATGGATAAGAGGCGCGGTCATGCTGCTTGATGCAAGTTGTCATGACTCACCTGTGGGCTGACTATCCATTATGATAAACAGCATACGGCGTAAATTATAAAGCAGTTTTGATATGACTACACAAAATACGGTACTTCCCCAATTCGTTGGCAGGAATAATTTAAAACAAAATTAGCAATAATAAAAATAAAGCTGTTTAACTGTATCTTCCTATGTGCATTGCAAAATACGGTCTCTGAACATAAAATAATACAAAAAGAAAGTAAACCTTCATGGCGTATGGAAACCCTCCCTTTCTCGTATACGTCTCTGTGCCATTTAAGGAGGTAACATTTATGCAGTTTAGCACAGCTGTATTTTTGATGTTGTACGAATACATCTCGAATAGAAAGGTGCCTCATGAAACATTGCTGACGAAGAACAATGTTGCTCTTCAAAACAAAATCATGTGAAACACATTTTGCATTTAGTGGGCTCAAACAGTAAAGAGCAGCCGCTTCTTTAAATGGCATCTAGAAGAATACAGCAATGCCATATGTCGCTGGTACCTCGTTTCAGAAAAGCTGTGTTTATGAACATATATCGATTACCCAAGTCCTTGTTTTACTCTCAAAACTTCGGCCAAAGAAAGTTAGCCATCAGAAAGGGCTGATAGGCAGCATGAGGGCAAAAGTATTAATCGCTTTACTTGAGTAGTAGGCACTATTGGCGTCGCTGAGTCGGTATACAGCAAAACTAAGAAAAATACTGAAGACGATAGGTCATGTGTTGCTCAATGGATACACAATACCATGGATAGATAAAAATGTATAAAATATTCTGCCTACTTCATTGGTGCCGTCGAGTCTTTTTCCAGTTTTTCTATTGTTGACGACGACGGCGAGTACCACCGAAATTGCAGGTGCCAATTAAAACCTCCACGGTAGGTTTCGATGCCTTTCTGAAACTGAAAGGTCTTGTCGTTGATTACGTCGATAACTGGGCAAACAACTGCGGTTCTAAACATCGAACTCCATAATAACTATAATCGATTAGTAGTACTTGAATAAACTGAATTCAGTAATTTTATTAGGTTTAGATAATTTTTGATACTGTAGTTAAGAATGAGCTTCAGATAGTTTCTTCTCAAGGTCTCTATCAGGGATAAAAAACATCGTCCAAAATACTGGATCACGTGACATGGAGAAGAACGGTGGAATGATGCACACTATGCCGTTGCATAATCGTGATTATCTACCATAAACCGAGATCATTTGGCAATGAGACAATTGCTACTCAGCTTGACAGGTCTCTTCATGCCTTAAAGGCAGGTCTTCTAAACTTATGTACTAAATGACCGAACACTACAGTCTACATCGACTCTAATGAAAGCGTGAGAAAATCTTTCGATCCTATCATCTACGCTTTCAACAGAAAACAATGACTCACAGTCAAAAACAAAGAACCGGAGGCAACTTGATGACAGAGCCAGGAAAAACGCTCTTCTCTTCCTTCTGATCTGCTGCCAATTTAGAGTTTTATAGATGAAACGCTTATGCTAACGATGTCTGTAAGGGTTACTGTAATTTTTTTATAAGAGGCAAACTTCCGATGAATCAGTTTTACTCCAATGGCAGATTAATACACGTTACTATGAACCAATCTGCGGTGATTTTATTTTATATTCAGCCATTTTTTGGACTGTCAGCCTGCGAAACTTTCAGAGTTCCATGGAAATTATTGAAATGTTCCATTCTGGTTCTGTTAGACACTTTTCTTTCGAATTCTCAAGCAAAAGTCTGCTGCTTTCACAGTATGCAGCGGCTCAACAAATTCAGTTCAAGAATCTGCAAACAGCCAATCAAATTTTAGGATCAGAGTTATTTTTCGGTTGGGCGTGCCAAGAGGCCAGTCGATTTCCAGGCAATGGTTTTCATACAAACGGCGTCCAATGCGTGCGGGACAAAAAGCACATGAATTAATGGTCGAGACCAGTTGATACGCTCTTTCAAAGGGATTATATGCAACAGTTCAAGACAGTAACGGGGCAGTCACAAACGGGATATAAAGCTTTATACTGGCCAAGATGTAATGATTTTCTTCTGAAGAATTTACATAGCACAATCAAATCATCAATCATCTGCTGTGCATGCATGATAAGTAGGATCCTAAATGGTAGCACACGTTTATTGGATTGAAAGCTCTCAGCCTCTTGCCCTGGATACCCCTTTCCAATGCAGGTGCGCCAATATATCCGCAGAAAGAAGCTGTACGAGTGTCTAACTGCATCTGTCCTGGTAGGCATCCTCAGAAAATTCAAGATCAGTAGGGTTGCATTATTGTTAAACTTGTGACACATTATGGCTCTATTTTCTGGGTTATTTGTTAGCTGTTTCATGCTACCAACATCATTGGTCAAGGCGAATACCATTTTCAATGTGACAGTAGCGTTTTCCTGACTAACTTGATAAGTCTAATATTTATCAATATGCTCTTCCCTGAACGTTTCTCTTAAGCCTCTTAAGGCTTTTCTGTGTTTGCTATTTATCTGTGATTCTATGGTATTTGCATTCCAATGAAAAACATGAAACTTCCTGTACTTCCTGTGCGAACTTTCCAGCTGTTGGGCAACCTTCTCATCGAGTCTCTGAATGGTCATAATGACTTGCGTGACAACTCGGTAATAATCACCAATAAATTTACGGTCTTCTAAAACAAAAGAAAACGAACGTTTTACATGTACTGTAGAGATGTTAACTTCCCAGAGAAAACCATTCCCACTGATCTTAACCGAAGCCGCTGGCTGCAGAAGCTTGACAGTACTGTACCATGCCTTGCGAAATTTCACAGTTGGTCGACAACTCAGCCCGACCAGATCAGAGATGACACTGCTGACTTGCTGCAATTGGACGACACGTGATAATCAGTAACAGCTATGATGATCAGTAACAGCCAGAAACAGTAACATGGCCTGATATCACGGTAAGTTCTGGAATTAAACGTAGAGTAGTTGCAAACCTCGAGTGATGATACCGAGTAAGGTAGCAGGTGCATACATCGATGCATATAAGTAAATATTTGAATATATACCATAGTATAAGAACATGAGCTGTTGTTGGCATCAGACTAAGCATAGCTGCGGCGCATATAGCCCAACGAATGTAGCTGCGCTTCTTCTGTACCTAGCGCTATGTATGACAACAATTATGGACTACTTCCGTTAGAAGATCATTTCGACAGAAGACAACTTTTGAAATGGCATTTGCTTTGTGGCAAAAATGTAGATGGCTTTATTGTATGATTCTTATTGACCTGAAGCTCATGACCAAACGAACTACAGAAAGATTTCCTTGAATTTATTCTCATACAGGAGCTCAAAGTAACATTCATCGATTGGACTCATTGTAGAACTTCTAGCAAATACACTACGCAAAAATTGACAATATATGATAGTGAAATATTATGGCTGTACTGTGCTGCTACAGATAAGAACCGAGAAAGCAAGCTGAACCATTGGCTGACATAAAATCTAATCTAGTTTTCTCTCAAGAATGCAGACAGTGCATCAATGGAGCCCGTTGTCCTCAATGCCTTCAGTCTGCATTATTCGTCTATGTGCTATTCACCTCAACAAATTTATCCTCAAGAGCCTCAGATAGGCCCTTTGCTGTTCTTTTTCAAATGCTTCTATCTAGGCCAATTTTTGGCTTCATCGTACGCTTTCAAGGATGTAGCAGCTACTAGCATGAATAATTCCTACCATCCTTCATCAATGCATCAATTTTGTTTTATTACTTTAGTGTCTGCGTCTGCTATGTAAGCCGTAGAAAGAGCAGAAATCTTCTTTCATAAGGAACATGAGTGACAGTAATAAAAAACGAACTCTGTCGCTTCATTTTCATTGATTATGCCACAGCACCTTAAACTTTTCCTGAGTCACATTTCTACTGCAAAACACATCTTAGCAATAGACTGATTACCTGTCTTGCTTGATTCTTAAAAGCAGTGGTTCTATCCAGCCCGTTGTACACTCACAATGCGAATCGAGGAATATGAGAACTTGTCCAGTTGCGTTTTTAGCGCCCATCAGTCTGGCCTTTACTAATCCGATGCGTTGCCTGGATCTAAGCACTTTGGTCAGAACGCTCAGTTGCGAGACATAGGCGTCGAGCGTTTGGTTGAGAAATTCTAAAAGCAAAATATTTTGTTTTTCCTCTCATGAAACTTTATTAACATAATTTGAAAGAAATTTGCATACTGAATTTAAAATGACTTTGAAACTTTTACAATGTTAAAGCAGTATATGTAATTTGCCAATGTATGAGTGTTTTCTGTATACGCGTAGAGTAACAGCCTCATAACTCGCCGAAACTATTTCATGAGATTCGATTTGACTTGAAACGTCAAGCGAGGCTGCCCTGCCTGCACCTCGCGTAATAAATTACATGTTTCGCAGCAATTTCTGTTCCAGTGCCAATTAGACGAGAGGTTAGCATGATCGTCAAGAAGCAGGCATTATGTTGGAAGCTGATTGGTCCACTTGCCCGTTCGACTATGCAGGAGTCGTCTGTTTATGGAATTTACTTGATGGTTAATGTTCCACCAGCAGTTTTAGACGATCTACCGTGTATGAAGACCCCATTGCATTTAATTATGATGGTGAGGTAAAATAAGCGCATGCAATAGTTCATGAGAGGAATATTGAATGAGGCAAGACTTTTCCAAAACTGTTACTGAGAGAGTCATGAAAAGATGGATGATCCGAAGTTTGTTCTACCACCACATCCCGTATTACCTGGATCGGACAGGAGCCGACGACGAATCATTTTGTATCGTCACATTGAGCATGAAGTTTTTCCACTCGCTGGAAAGCTTTCCACTCGCGACGGTTGACTGAGGAATTTCGTCGATAAGGGTCTCCCTCCCCAATTCTGTCCGGCTTTTTATCAATGCTGTCTTTTTTAGCCTTTGACTAATTGACGCCTAACCACAAGGCAGCGCTGACCTTGGCGGTTTTTTCTTCAAAAGGCGAGTTGCTTTCGCTTCATAATGAGACTGTCATTAAGCATTGTGACTATGTCTGAGGAGCGAACTAGTCGACCTCGAACTCAGTCACGCCCTGATGGTCTCACCGCTACCTCTCTTCATGACCGCTTATTTGTCGTAGCAAATAGGCTGGACTGAGCTCGATTCACTGACACCCAGATGGACGACGGTCATTGTCTAGTGTAGGCACTGGATCGTCTGTTCGAAGAAGGCAGAAACAGTTTTGTCACTGGCTTACAAAATCGAATGTGATCAAGAAAGACACGAAACGGAGAAGAGTAATAGTCAGGTTGTGATGGGCACAGTTTAGCTGATTGTCGAATCCTGGTCGAGATCCCAAATCTTCCCAAACTATTGAGGGCATGATCATTTCTTCTTCTTAGACTTAAGATCACTACGCAGGATTATCAGGCGATGGACATTGGCCATCATGGCTTAAGGGCGCCCAAGTGTGATAATGGTCCATTATAATCGCTGGAATGAAATGTAAAAATAATATGAGGCCCTTGCATCATTCTCGTTATTACGAGATGAAGACGTTAGATTAGTATTTTGTAGTCATACCTAAAACTAACTCAAAAAAATTTTATTAATACACTACATAATAATATGGTCTGTCGAACGATAGAACGTTAGAGACTTTTCGGCGTGCAATATTTGTATGAAATTTGAATTAATGTTTGGGTCGTTTGCAGTAGGGTGGGGTGGGGGGATTCGTTCCCAGATTAATCTTCAGGAAGTCTTGTGAATTACAAACCATAACGTTGGTGTTGGTCTATCGTCTGATAAACCATAAACCAAGCAACATTAAAGAACAAGATAGAGGGAGGTCTAATTTAAGAGAGAAATGCGATGCAGTAACCAGCGTCATATAGCAAGTATTGAAAACTTCCGACTTAGAGGATATTACATTCCATAAACGTATGCAAAAAAACGACTCAAGGTTATGATCTCAGCTTTAATACATTGTCTATTATTAAACGGTATTGTGCTATTTCTCAGTCTTCACAGCTAAAAACTGCATGAAAAAGAATGACCCAGAAAGTAATTAAAGTAGAAAGGAACAAGGAGTAACAAAAAAAGAGAACGTCAGTAGCAGTACACACCATATTTTCCATCCTGAATCCGTTAATAACAGTACACGGTAATTCATGTGTTAATAAATCAACGATTGATTAGCTTATGCAGTATAGTTAGCAGCAAAGGTGACTATCCTCCATGAACGGTAAAGTAAACATGGTATGCGCAATGAAACAACGCTAATAGCTAAGGACTAATTCGTTCTGAAATATGCTAGTGAGGGGGATGCCATTATTACCACAAGATTCGTGCATGTCTGAAGAATTGCAGTTCAAATGGCAGTGTCACTCTAAGCTCTAAGTTTAACTGATTGCTCATCAGCAGCCGCGCATCGCGAGCTTAAGCGAAAGCACTAGTCTTTTACGACCGCCTCGTGCCACCATTACTTGTGGATGCAAAACCAGAGCTGGGCCATTAAAATAACGACTAATCTTCAGAGTGCTATTTTATTGACAATTTTCCTATGGCACTAAAATCTGCCAAAACTGGCAGCTGCGGTAAACCTTTTTTTTCATACTTCCTTAATCGAATTCAAAACCAGACAATTTGAAGAGGAAACGGCCATTTCATCACAACATTTCCACCTAACTCAGTTATCACCTGCGGCCCTCAAATGAAACCGTTCGTGCAAAAGGAAATATCAAAGACATTTTAGGTTAACCGACAGAAGATAGTTTTTCGATACCGGCGGCTAACACAGCGCATAAGAGCCAACCGGTCAGTTTCGATGACCGCTGATGCTTTCGGTTCTAGGTAACAGATATGTCAGACGCTGTCTGCAACAGATCTGATCACGTGCCAGCGTCTGAGCTTCGCCAGGAGATAAACCAAACCTGGGTCAGAGCTCGAGACATTTGACCCAGGTCATTCTCAGCCGTCTCAGTGATTTTGGCCAGTCGGTTTGGAAAGTTGTGGCAATTCCGTCTTCCTTTCTGGAAACATTCACGACATCGCAGCTGTGACACCTCAGTCTGAGGAAGTTCCTGTTGGACACCGGCGGTCTCTCGAGTATTTGCATCTGTCGAAACTCATGAGTCTGGCCATTTGTCTCAGCCTCTTGCACCGGCGATTTAAGTTTTTCAGTCATGGCCGACGATTCATCACTGCAAGGGATCATCAGAATCAAGATCGATTTGAACATGCACGGCTTGGTCTTCAAAGCACAGCCTTCAGTCACAACGGTTCAGGCTTATTTGCACGGAACGTTCCACTGAACACGCCGGAAATTCCAATTCACCGGTCGATCTCTGCCTCCAAGTTTCCACCATCTACAAAAACACAACCCATAGGAACGTGACCTTCTCCATCTGTTCCACTGTTTCTCTGTAGAGCGCAGATGACAGAAGAACGAGATCCCATGGTACATAGTTGTAGTCTCCAATATCATAGGAGGCGGGGTCGGCCTCGGGACGCCACTCCATGACGCCATAGCACTTGCATCGCACGGATGCAAAACAGCATCACGACGTGTTGAGTCTAACGAGAGCCTGTTCAGGCATAAAGTGATATACCCAGATGCGCAGTCGCATATATAGATAAAAATACCCGTATTTCGAGTTTGTTCCTTTACTCACAATATTCATGATCTACCGGATATTCGAAATCGTGAAAGGTATTGCATTTTTTGTTTTCTGATCATTATTCTACAAAATCTTCCACCCACATTGTTAAAAGCGTCGTTCGGAAAAACGATTGCGCAGGATAAAACGTTGGACTGGTTTCTTTGAGTATCAGCACATGTGGTAGTCAGAAATCTTTCTGTGAGGGATTCTGGCCTGTATCTTTCTTTTGTAGTGATCTCCTACAAAGAACTTCTCCTACTGTATGAAACTGAGTTAACAATGCCCCGGTAAGTCATCCGCTTCATGCGTCATGTCAAGCTTTCATGACTGTCATAGAGGTGTACGCTTTATTATATCGAATTTCACCGAATTATCTGAACCAATACTTTAGTGTTTATCCGGCAAGAAGACACCAGCAGTAGATTACTGGCGTGTCAATTGTCGGTCAGATCATATTGTAATATTGTAGGAATGATAATCTTCGATTAAGGAGTTTCCAGTTTTGCCCTCTTCCGTCTATGTCTATTTTTTATGCACGTCTGTATTATAAGTTATTAATATTTTATCTGATTTCATGCGTGAAATAGAGTTAGTCACGGTTGGTGATTTCTTTCTCCTTTTGCCCGCTTCCCTCATAAATAACAGTTGCAGTACTGAGGTCGAATTCACTCCTCGTCCATTCTTTTATCCGATATGTAGAGCAGAACAGTGCCTGTCAATTTGCCGCTAAATCACATGCAATCAACATTTGCTTATTTGGCCACCGTGGATTTCGAAGCTGGCTAAACTAATTTCTACAACTCAGCGTAAGGCTGGACTCCCAATTATAGCTGATCCTCGGGACAAACGACGCTTAAAATCATCGCTTTAATCACAGCACAGTCTTTTAACGTTCGACCGGTTTGACTAGGTTTTCCGTTGCTGACATTGCACGTTGTAACCAGAACCTACGTATGAACGCGCCGCGCAATTTAACGACTGAAGGAGTCAATCGATGGAAATGCAACTTTTCGACAGCCACTTCACTACAGTTTATGAACTAGTCGAAATCGTTGAAATTGTAAACAGTACTTCACACTTTTGATTCATATATGGAAACAGTCTGTTCCAGACTCCATTTGTCTTCTACCAAAGTTCAGACCCTGGCACAGGATCGCGAATGTTGGAAGCTCTGTCTGACACTTCTGCCTCCGTGACCCGAAAGGTGAAGCGAACATGGAAGATGATGATAATGATGATGATGACGACGAGATAAGTACGGTGAAATATAAGGCTAAGCAACTGTTTCTTGAGCATTCGACCGGCAGAAGGCCCAGGGGTCGGCCAAGATTAACCTGGTGCAAACATATGGAAGGAGTCTGTTCCAGGCTGCATTTGCCTTTTGCCGAAGCTCAGACTCTGGCACAGGATCGGGAACGTTCGAACTCTGTCTGACGGGTCTGCCTCCGCGACCCGAAAGGAGAAGCGGCGATGGAAGATGAATGAAGATGACTTTTGATTCTGCACTCAGCGTTATAAAAATAAGTGTTTGCACGATTCATGGTTCAAAGCACCAAACATCATACGGTTTATGGTCTATGATCTATGGATGATGCTACTCTCTATGTAGCGAAACGCGTCTGCAATAAAGTTTTGTACCACCTGCAATGTTTCGTGCCCTGAACCATGAAACATTCAAAAACTCATCTTAATCGTGGATACACTTTAAAACATTTACTTTAAACTGTAATATGGGAAAAGTTAGCATATCGTTTTCTAATGCCGGATTTACTTGGGTAAGTGCGCCATACCCTTGCTTCTATTCGAACTATTTAAATAGGCCACAATTCCGTGGTATTTAAGCAGATGCAGTGCAATAAATGCAAGGCTTCATCATCGTCTCTGAGTTTGGGAAAAAATTAGGTTGAAACCACATACAAATTTGTCATTACTTGCCCACAAATATACGGGCAAATAACCCCGATGTTCCGGTATAGCTACTACATTGTAGCTTCCAATTATATTGATAATAATAACGTTTGAATTTCTGGTACAGGTTGAGCATTTCCAATCCGAAATTCCAAAATCCAAAATATTCCAATATTTGTAACGTATTAAATCGCTTCTCAGTCCTGAGTTATTTTTTTTTTTGAAATATCCTCCGGTATTCATCATCTGAGCTACTTCGCTTTCGTGACGTTTCAGCAGCTGGTGCTTCTTATATGCAATCGCATGAGCATCATATGACGCTCGCACGCCGTGAAAGCTGGTCTTGGAGAAGTTGTGCTGTTTGACATACTTTCGCCTAAGAACTACTTATCACCTGCGGCTAAACAACATATCATAGCGGTTTTATATGGCACGAGGAAACGATATGTTTCAATACGAAATTTACTCCAGTCAATTTTTTTCCAAATAACTTTATGCCATTCGAAAAGCTACATGCATTGTTAAGACACTTCTGCGACCTCATGGTAATGTAGCCATCGATGATAGTAGTGCACAAGACTTCGTAGATCGTCTATCACGAAGTTAGATTTCCTTGCTGTCAAGCAACAATTCATAAAGTTAAGCTAAGCCTCAAAGACATAAACTTTTAACAAAATTATGCACCCGAGCAGGATTTTTTCTACTTCAATCGGCTACAAATAAAAACTAATTTTGGAAAATGAAAAACAAAGTAACGTATTGTAGCATTGTCATACGCATATGGATCAAATATGTACTAATACGGCAGTTATAATGCAGTCTTAATTAACTAATCAAAATGGTCAGGATAAACTGTTGGCCAGGGAAGAAGAACTGGATGCTTTCTGATATCAGAAAATTCAAGAGGAAGAAAAAAACCCTTAGGCTTTATTTATTGTTAGCCACTAGTGATTCTCATTAAGATCACGGAATCAGTGAATTTTGCCAGGGATTTCTGGGTCTTCATGTTCTGTAGTTGGTATACTTACCACAGTTTGCTACGTGCCCTTTGTATGCTCTATCCTTTTGGACTAGACTAGAGACGAACGCAACTGAGGGGAAAGGAGGTTCGGTGAAATCCGTAGTATGAGGCAATGTTTATCGGTTCATTTATTACAATTTCCTAGGCTTATGGGGACCTAATTTTTGTGTTGACCACAAAACGGAATCTACTTGCATACCTAGCGAAACAACGGATTCGTGATATGGTCCCTTTGTTGAATTGTGATGATCGACACGTCTTCGCCGTATTTGTTGCTAGAGTCATCTATGGGGTACCTTCAGGAGATGCGCTATTGGATGTTGTAACAGAGCTGGTAAAATAGGTAGAATTTCTTTGTATTGTCTATGATCTAGTCCATGATCATGGGGTCATCCACCAAGACTATATCTTATGACCAAAAGTACTGAAAAACCGCATAACAATACGGTTAAATAATGGTCAACGCAAAACTTGAAATGGTCAATCCGGTGAGTGACCATTACCGACGTTTCTGCTTGTGTTTCATGGGCCTTCTGTAAGGAAGATGGGTGGTACTGTTTCATGAATTTCGCTTGTCGTCTGCAGCAGTTGATGGATTCTGGGCCAAAAGGCAAGCATTCGATCCGTGTTGCTGGTTCTACAGTCTTTGGGCAACAAGCACGGCGAAGCTCATCCAATCCGCACAGAGTTCGTATCCTTTGTCGCAGTCGACATTTTCACACGATAGAGTGGATGTCCAAAGAAGCACCCCTGGGAAACCCACTTTTCCCTATCCCTGCCAAAATTTTCCTGAAGCACTTCGTAAATGTGGCTCAAGACACGAACTCAGACCTTATTCCAAAAATTTTAAAACCATATGTTCATACTTTTTTGCCATTGTGACGAAAACAATTTATTAAACCTCCTCAGTAGCCCTTTCTCTCAAAACATGGAGTTGACAATTGAAAGAAAATACAACTCCAGGTTACCATTTCTTGGTGCCTCAATAGTTAACTTTGGTAGCTGCCATAGAACTACCGATTATCGGAACTATTAACAGAAATACCTCAAATTTGACTCACATACTCATTTGAACGATAAACGTTTTGGTGCTATAGCTTTAATTGACAGAGTCCTGAAGCTCTGTAATAGTGAATTTCTTAAAGACGAA